TTTAAAAAAAAAAAAAAAAAGGGGCCCGTTTTAAAAAAAAAAAAAAAAAAAATCATGTTGGTGAGATGGACAGTTCTTTGGAGTGGTCAGGAGAGGGCGCCAGTGTGTTAATTTGAATCGAGCAGCTTCCTCCGGTGATGCTGGCAGAACGTCGCGTGCCGCAACAAGAAGCGATTGATGATGAATTAAACGATCACCGCAGTGTGCTAAAACGATCTTTACTAGAATGATCCCATTGTTTATTTTTCCTTATCATACATTTAAACATAAAAGCGATCCAACATGGCTGTGCCATCATCCCTGCTGCGTTTGTGTCACATCGCATTCACGTTTATTTAGCCGATTAAAGGTTGAATTACTAGATATTTTTATAGATAACACCCCCTTGAGACACGGAAGCTGACACGTGTGACTCAAACATGGAGGTGCGGCCCCCACTTACAGAAGAAACCCCGCATAAAAAGTGTGCGCTCCAAATGGGAAGCGCAGCCTCCCTCCTTTGTGCGTAAATGATGCAGGGCAGGACGGGAACACTGGGCTGCCTTCATCTGAGAAAAACCCGGCCGGTGAATGTTCGCTAGGGGAGGGAAGGAGGAGGATAAACCCTGGGAAATAAGAAAAAAAAAAAAAGGCAAAACAAAGTAAGGGTTTCTGCTGAGGAGGAGCGCAGCGTCGCCACCTGGTTATATTTCGAGGCCGTTGAGGAGGAGGAGAGGGAAAGATGGACATCACTGATCAAGGAGCTCAAATGGAGCCGCTCTTACAAATGGTAAGCAGTAACAACCTTTGATCTGCATGTCCAGTTTATCATGAGAGCTGTGGCAGTTTATTTCTATTTAGATGGAAATAAAATTCATTTGGAGCGTTTCACCTTGCAGTCGTGACAGACCTAGATGCTGCTCATTTTGCAGGAGGAAAACGTTCCTTTAATGATGATTCCTGCACACCCAGGTGTCCCCAGTCTTTATAGTGGTGCACAGGTGGACACATCAGCAACAGTTCCACCTGGTAGACAGGCTGCCCTGCATCTCTTATGGAAATAATCCATATTGCTGCTGTTAACATGCGGGTTTATCCATCACATGCAGCCTATATAACCTGCTGTCAAGCTGCTGTGGGCTCAAGATGTTCCAAGTTTGATCCAGCAGGGTGGTGTAGGCCTCATAGGTTTTAATCACTCTAACAAGCTTTTTTCTTTTAATCTCAGAGAAGCACTGGAACATGGTGATTTATTCTCCATCCTCTGCATGGCAGGGAAATGCATGAAGTAATGTGATTTGTCCCTTTGAGTCAGTAGTGCCAGGTTTGGAGATAGAATGATGCACATGCTTAGTTTTCCTCCTCATCCACTGACTTCAGGGTATTTTATTGGGGTTTATGCAGTCAACAAAGTGGTGTGTCATTAATAATGGGATATGATTTGTTTTTCTTGTATAAAAAGTAATTGGAAAAGTGTTTGCTTTCACGCAGAAAAAAATTTATAAGGGCAGCCAGGCAATAACCAATGTATACTGAGGGGTGGCCAAAATTGGATAGTCCACAATTCTAAATAAAGACAAACTATAGTTTCCTACATCCTTTGCTAACAAATAGACGCTTATATTTAAACATCCGTCTAGATAGAAGCTTTAATTCTTTGAGGTTTGAGTTCTGGAGCGAACATCTTTTCCATCATCATTACTTACCTACTTTTATCAATATCATTCTATATTAAATTGATATTTACAAGTACTAATATCTACAGAAATTTATAATTTAATAGGTTTTTATTAAAATAGTTATTTATCTCTGATTTCACTGAGGACTCTTAGATAACTTGCAGAGACATATTTTCTTTTTACAGCATATAACACAAAATCTAGTTCTGAAAGAGTAGGAATTCTGTACTAATCATTGCTAATGTTGGTATATTGATGTGCAAAATTAACCACAGTGTTTTTGTTGTCAAGTAATTCTTAATATATTAAAAAATATGTTTTGAATATTCTACTTGAAAGAAAAAAATGGTAGGGGTGGCGACAGGGGTGGCCAATGATTGGCTAATGGCCACCCCTGGCCAAGCATCTAGATCCGCCCCTGCTTTGACCCTTTTTTTTTTTTTTTACTCCCAGTGTGCTGATGAATACTTGCTGATTTCACTTAAACATTACAATTTCAGAAAGAAATCACACATAGCTCATGGCTTATTTTTTTTTTACTGTATATATATATTGTTTGTTTATTCTTAATGTACCTTTTCCTCCTCTTTTGCACCTTCTTTGACCTCTATGCCAATATGTGACAAGTGAATTTCTCCGCTGTGAGATCAATAAAGCTCATCTAATCTAATTAATGTTCATTAAGGTTTACAGATCATTAAACATTTAGTATCAGTAAGTGCAAACATTTCTATGCATTAAATAGTTGGTTGGGGCTTTGTTTGCATGAATTACTGCATCAGTGCATTGCATCATTCTAGTGGTCAGCCTGTATGGGTTGTAGCCCATGTGAGCAATTCCTCTATGCCTTTTAGTGTCAGGATTTGGTTGAGGTTTGTGGACCCAAATGCAGAGGGAGGGAGGCAGAGGTGAGTTTCTTGATGATTTAATGATGAGTAATCAAACAACTGAACACGGTGGCAGGAATCCAAAAATCAACCAA